CATGGAGTAATAGGCGCCTCGTACCCCGCATACACGGACTAGTCGGCCCCGATTACTCCGTATCCGATACACGGGGGAGCAAGCGCCGTTTATTCCGCATGCACGGAATAATACGCTCCGATTACTCCGTATCAGATACACGGAATAGCAGGCGCGTGTTAATCCGCAGACACGGATTGACATGCTCCTATTACTCCGTATCCGATACACGGAATAGCAAGCGCCGAGTACTCCATCTACATGGACGAATAGGCCCCTGTTACTCCGTGTATCCGATACACGGAATAGTAGGCGCCTATTACTCCGCATGCACGGAATACTACGCTCTTACTATTCCGTGTATCGGATCCACGGACTTATAAGCGTTTACTACTCCGCATACACGGAAAATGGGTTCCGAATACCCCGTGTATCCGACACACGGAATAAAAGCGCCTCTTATTCCGTACACACGGAATAATAGGCTCCAGTTACTCCGCGTATACTGGCGCCAGAAAGAGGTGCGAACAAAAGCACCGACACCAGTAAAACAAAAACAACAACAACAACAACAACAACAGCAGCAACAACAACAACAACAACATCAACCACAACAGCAGCAGCAACAACAACAACAACAGAAACAGCAACACCAGCAACAACAGCACATAAAGCCTTCACAACAACGCACAACCGAACAACCGAAGCAGCAACAACAGCAGCAACAACAACAATAACAACAACACTGACAACAACAACACAAAAAAAAACAAACACAATCTCAACAACAACAACAACAACAACAATAACAACCACAACAACAACAATAATAACAACAGCAACAACAACAACAGCAACAACAACAATAACACAAGAACAGCAACAACAACAAAACAACCCCAACAACAACACCAACAACCGCACAACAAACAACAACAATAACAACAACAAACAACTTAAGACGGTTAACTCTTGCCTGCTCGAATGCCATTCAACGTGCATTTCCCAAACCCTCGATACCCGCCCTCTTCGTCTTCGATCGTACCTTTTTGGGGGTATGTCTTTCTTCCCTGCAGGCCGGGCCCCCGCAGGCGGCGGGGCGGCCGCGGACCGTCGGCCTGGCCAGCGGCAACGCTGATCGGCGGCAACCCGACCCCAAGAGGGACGGACAGGGGACCGACCACGATGACGACGACGACGACGACGACGTCGACGAGCGAGAGCGAGAGCGAGAGCGAAAGCGACAGCGGGGGGCCACGAAGGGCAGGAAGGGGACCACGAAGGGCGACATCGGGGCCACAAAAGGCATGCGTATGGGGCCACGAAGGGCGCGAACGAGCGGGGGCCACGAAGGGCAGATAATGCGGGGCCACAGAGGGGGCAACGACGGGGCCACTGAGGGTAGCAACGGGGCCACGTAGGACAGCGAGGGGGCCACCAAGGGCGACAGCGGGGCCACGAAGAGCATGCACATTGGGCCACGACGGGCGCGAACGAGCGGGGGCCACGAAGGGCATACGTATATTGGGCCGCAGAGGGCAAGGACGTTGCCACTGACGGCAGCAACGGGTCCACGAAGGGCAGCCATGGGGCCACGAAGGGCGACAGCGGGGCCACGAAACGCATGCATATGGGGCCACGACAGGCGCGAACGAGCGGGGGCCACGAACGGAATACATATATGGGGCCAAGAAATGCAGCGAGGTGACCACGAAGGGCTGCAACGGAGCCACGAACTGCAGCGAGGGGACCACGAAGGGCTGCAACGGGGCCACGAAGGGCAGAGAGGGGGCCACGAAGGGCTGCCACGGGACCACGAAGGGCAGCGAGAAGGCCACGAAGGGCTGCAACGGGGCCACGGAGTGCAGCGAGTGAACAGCGAATGGCTGCAACGGGACCACGAAGGGGAGAGAGGGGACCACGAAGGGCAGCCAGGGGGGCCACGAAAAGCTGCAACGGAGCCACGAAAGGCAGCGAGGGGGCCACGAAGGGTTGCAACGGGTCCACAAAGGGCAGCGAAAGGGGCCACGAAAGCTGCAGCAACGGGGCAACGTAGAGCAGCCAGATGCCGATTCCAAAATAAGCTATGAGGGAGTCCTAAAAGTGAGCGCAACTCCTCGGAGCGGGGCGCCAAAGAGTAAAGCGCGGAAAAATCCAACGCAAGAGCGCAATTCTTGAGCAAACTGCAAGCAAGTCTCCAGCGAGAGCGCGACTCCAGAGCGCCGAGAAAGCGATTCCTGAATAAAGTGTAAGGAAGTCCCAAGCGAGAGCGCAATTCCTGAATAAATTGCGAGGAGCTCTCAGGCGGGAGCGGGGGTCCTGGCTAAATTGTGAGGAAGTCTTAGGCGAGAGCCATAATTTTAGTAACCCGCCGGGGGCCAGGGGTACAGATTGAGCCGAGTGGCTTTCCCTGATAAAAAAAGGATGCGAGCCCCGGGTGAAGCACTTCAATTGAAAAACACAATGGTCACCAGAGGAGGGATCAAAAATAATGATTATTCAGCTGTGGGACGTCAACAACAACAACCACCACAACAACAACGACGACGACGACAACGATGACGATTACGACGACAACAACAACAACAACAACAACAGCAACAACAACAACAACATCAACAACAACAACAACAACAACAACAACAACAATTACTAGCACGTGGGGACACTCCGTTCTCACCAGTGCCAGGGTTTTCATAGGAGGCGGGCAATACCCCCACTTTGTGGGGGGGCCGGTTCAAGCTCTACCAAATTTCCAAACGACTCTTCGCCACCACCCACACCCAGCTTCCCGCCCTATGACGTTCGGACACTTCACTTCGTGGCATGCGGACGACCGTGGCTACTATTCAGGGCCCCGCGGCCGACGACGACGGCGTGCGCGCGCGAAGAAAAAACGAATGTGTCCCGCATGGTATTATTTGACAGGGATGATGGCCCTGGCAGGTGCGCAACCGTTGTCGCAGAAGTTCGAAAAAGTTGCTCGCAAAAGCCCGTTTGACAGAAATGTTTAAAAAGTGTTGGGTTTCCTACGAATCCGCAAGAGCGCGCGGGATGAGATTTTGACATTTTTTTGTTGAAAAACCATTGGTTTTTTTGATGTTTTTATGTTAAAATCGCTCCGAACACTAAGCTTTTGGAAGGATTTCGTCTTGCGCGCGCGAATGTCCACTTTACCTTATTTTTTGCAAGGGATTCTTGAAATTTGATTATATTAGAACAAGAAATGTCATTTTATAGTGTTTTTTGCAAGGGAAAGCGGATTACAACAAAACAACCGGATCTTGATCACATCGAATTACCTGAGGCTTCCTCACGAAAATGATGAAAATGTAGCTGCGGCCTAGGCGGCGCAGGGGGGGCGTGCACCAGGGGGCCCAACAATAATTATTCTTTAGAATAAATAATGTTCAACAACAACAACAACAAGAACAAGAACAAGAACAACAACAACAACAACAAGAACAACAACAACAACGACAACACCGACACTATCAATAACAGCAGCAGCAACAGCAACATCATCACCAACAGCAATAATAACAACGACAGCAGCAGCACCGACAGGAACAGTATCAACAAAAACGACAACAACAACAACAATGACAACCTTAACAGCATCAACAACGCCAACAAAAACAAAAACAGAAACAACAACAACAACAACAACAACAACAACAACCAACAACAACAACAACAACAACAACAACAACAACAACAACAACAACAACAACAACAACGACAACAACAACAACAACAACAACAACAACTACAACAACAGCGACAACGACAACAACAACAGCAACGCAATGTGAAGGGCGAGGCTGGCAGCAGAGAGCTTCAAAAACGAAGTCTCATGGCTAATGGGGAACCCTATGCTAAAGCATATTGGGAAAAAGTTGGAAGAGCTTCACGGATACAGGGCGGTTCTTTTTCAAAAGATGGCTCTCGCCTCAGCCGCGCACATTGTGTTTACAAATGTGCAAGAGTTTCACGGAATCAGGGCGGTTCGTTTTCGAAATGTGGCTCTCCCTTCAGCGCTGGGCACATTCGGTTTAAAATGTGCAAGAGGTTCACGGATTGAGGGCGGTTCGTTTTCAACATGTGGCTCTCGCCCAAGCGCAGCACATATTTTCTCTGAACAGTTGCAAAAGCTTCACGGGTTGAGGGCGGGTGGTTCTCAACATACATGTGGCACTCACCTTAGCGCCGCGCACATTCGTTGTCAACAATTGCAAAAGTTTCAAGGGCGGCTCCTTTACAAAATGTAGCTCTCGCCTAAGCGCCGCGCGCATTCGTTTTAATACATTGCAGAAGTTCTACTGGTTCTCATGGCTAACGTTCCAGAGCTGGTGTTCTGGAAAGACTAAGGATTGTCGAGGCGCAACAGATACGCTAATTCGCGGTGTTGAAGTCCCAGGAATGGTGTTCTGGCAAGATTCAGGATCGCCAAGACGTAACAGTTAGGTTAACTCGTGGCGATGAAGTCCTAAGAATGGTGCTCTGCCCCGCTTCAAGAGTTTTGCACTGTTGTCCCCCAAAGGGCAATTTCCTCCGCGGAAATGACCCCTTGTATGGGGCCTATGACGAGGGAGCTTGGAGGGAGGGTGCTTTCCAACATCGTTGATTAGCCTTGGGTTTACAATGGTGAGTCCTGCTCTTCCTCTTCCTCCTCCTCCTCCTCCTCCTCCGCCTCCTCCTCTCCTCCTCCTCCTCCCGCCCACCTAGGGGGGGAGCGGAAAGGGGGGGACCGCTGGCTAATGGGATGGAGAGGGCTGGCTGAGGCTGGCCTTGGAACCGGCGATACATCCTTGATAGAACGGCGGTACGCCTACGCCCACGACAGTGAAGCCGGCCCAAGCCGGGCTGGAGCGCCCAGGCCCCCACACGCAATGAGCGATAGGGGGTCGATGCTTCCCACCCTGAGCCAATCCCCCCTGCCGCTGCCCGTGACTGGGCAAGAGCGCCCTTTTCTGCGCGGCGTTAGGCGGCCGCGGGGTGGGCCAGATCAAGGCGCGCAATCAGACGAAGACATGGCGAGGCCAAGTTCGAATGAGGATAGAGTGGGGATCTCCTAGAGCCAGCGGGTCTCCAGGACGTATCGGGCGCCGCAGCCGTTCTGGAGCGTCCCGGAAACACTCTGGGAGCGTTCCGAAACGCTCTGGAGCGATTTGCTCTCTTCCCAGGCCCGCACGACGCAGGCAAATGCGGCTGGGGGAACCAAACGGTACCCATACTGCCACCCCATTGACCTCTCCCGAGGTTCGTCCTGACCAGAATCTCGAAGAGAATCCAGCCCTGGCGACGAGGGCCTCCAGGGAGGTCCAGGAAAGGCCAGAGCGAGGGAAGGGCAGCGGCATCGGGGGCGCCCGTGGGCCCGCACCAGAAGGCCACAGCTGGCGAGGGGCTGCTCTTCCGCGCGGGCCGGCTCCTGCGCCTGCGCCTGCGCCGCCGCGCGGCGGCGGCGTCTCGGCCCCGGGCACGCTGCCCGCCGCCGTGGGTGCCAGGGGCGCCACGGGCGTGCTCCGAGCTTCGGCCGCCAGGGGCCGCGCGGGGGGGCGCTGCGGCGAGGCGGCCGGCGAGGCGGCCGCCGAGGCGCCCCCGCCCAGGCAGCCTACGCACTGGGAGAGGTCGAGCACCGAAGGGATGCGCACGCTGCCGTGCTGCTTCTCGTACCGCTGCAGCGAAGGGTTGGGCACGAACCTCTTCAGGTGCAGCACCAACACCCGCGGCGCGCTCGTGAGGCTCTTCTCCATCCGCGCGCGGCCGCAGCCGCAGCGCTCGCACTTTGCCTCCAGGCTCTCCTGCTCGAAGTACGACTTCAGCATGAGCTGGAGCGGGGAATCCGACTGGCTCTTGTCGAAGTCCAGGGAGAAGTCCCGGAACCTCTCGTGGACGTCGCGGTGGTCTCCGCAAGTCTCGCACACAAGCCGCTTCCGCAGCTCCGAATCGAAATGCTGCTGGGTGGCCAGCGCGAAGCCTGCCCGCTCGTCAGACTGCGCGGGATCCTGAGACGCGCTGGGCTCGCTTCACTCAGAATAGTGCATCTTTCTCTCCGTCAGCGTCCATTGGGATCCTCTCGTCTTCCTCCCTCATCTCCTGCTGTTGGTGTTGCTTAGTGTCGTCGTCCACCTCCTCAGCACCGCCCAGAAGGCCGTCACACGATGTGACACCTCCCAATTCCACGTCTTGACGAGCTCTCCTTCGGACTCTTTGGGCCGCCGTGTTGGGCTCCTGTGAAGCCATCGTTGGGGTCCCTTCGGGGCCTTATCAGGCCGTCTCGCGGCCCTCTTGAGCCGTCTTCGGGCCCTGTTGAGCACCGCCACCGCCACCGCTATCATTCTCTGCGCGTGCGGTGCCCGTGGACCCACGAACTGGGGTGGGCACGGGCTTACTCCAAGTCGGAGCGTTGCCGAATGCAGCAGAGTCCGGGAGCTGGCCGTCCCCAGAAAACAACAACATACAAAATAACAAATCAGCTCTGTGAGGGCGACGTGGGCAGCGATTGGCAGTGAAGAGCCGCACGAGCAGACGACCCAGTGCAGTCATTACATGCCCTCACCGTGGCAAAACGATAAAAAGGCGTCCAGCAGTTGCCTGCCTAAGGGGCGCAGGGAAGCAAGGTGGGTAGACCCCAGGCTGGCAGTCTGGCCAGATCGTGTCGCTTGAAACGCCGCTAGGCGCAACGGACCGACAATGCAGAACCAAACTTGCTAACATGGCCTTTGTAGTGGGCTCACGTCGTGCTGCTGGGTAGATTCGAACCCGAAGCGACCAACGTTCTACGAGGATGGGCACGAGGTCGAATCGAACTGCCAGAATGCCCCATTCGGCGGGAACTTCCATCTCGCAAAAAATTACCTGACGAAGAGCCCAACCATATGCAACTGCGAATACCGCTTTGTGAATACCGCTTTCGGTGGAGCTCCCTGTGGGGCCAAGCCCGTGTGAGGGGTGTGCCAAAATGGGTGGCGGTCCCCGCATGCGGCCTGTGCAACTGGGGCCTTCGGTGGAGCTCCCTGTGAGGCCACGAACCGAGTGAGAGGTGTGCCAATATGGGTGGCGGTCCCCGCATGCGGCCTGTGCCAGTGGGGCCTTCGGTGGAGCTCCCTGTGGGGCCACGAACCGTGTTAGGGGTGTGCCAAATTGGGTGGCGGTCCCCGCATGCGGCCTGTGCCACTGGGGCCTTCGGTGGAGCTCCCTGTGGGGCCACGAACCGTGTGAGGGGTGTGCCAAAATGGGTGGCGGTCCCCGCATGCGGCATGTGCCACTGGGGCCTTCGGTAGAGCTCCCTGTGGGGCCACGAACCGTGTGAGGGGTGTGCCAACATGGGTGGGGGTCCCCGCATGCGGCCTGTGCCACTGGGGCCTTCGGTGGAGCTCCCTGTGGGGCCACGAACCGTGTTAGGGGTGTGCCAAATTGGGTGGCGGTCCCCGCATGCGGCCTGTGCCACTGGGGCCTTCGGTGGAACTCCCTGTGGGACCACGAACCGTGTGAGGGGTGTGCCAGAATGGGATGGGCATGCGGAGAGCAGAGGCAAGGGATGGGAGGAGGGAGGAGGGGGAGGGGGCAGCAGGAGGAGGCGAGGCGCAGGGCGCTGTCTCTTCAAAACGAGGGCCCAACACCACAGGATGGAGGGGAAAAACAGCAAGACGATGATGCTGACGATGTTGATGGTAATAATAATAATAATAATAATAATAATAATAATAATAATAATCATAATCATAATCATAATCATAATCATAATCATAATCATAATCATAATCATAATCATAATCATAATAATAATCATAATAATAAGAATCATAATAATACTAACAATAATAATAATAATCATAATCATAATCATAATCATAATAATAATAATAATAATAATAATAATAATAATAATAATAGTGGTGATGATGATGATGATAATTATGATGATGATGCTGATGATGATGATGATGATGGTGGTGATGTTGATAATGATGATGATGATGATGATGATGATGATGATGATGATGATGATGATGATGATGATGATGACGATAACGACGACGATGGGAGGAGGGAGAGGGCAGCGGTAAGGAAGGTAGAAAGGAACGAGGGGCGCTGTCTCCTCAAAACGAGGACCCAACACCAAAGGAAGGTTGGGAAAAATAGCAAATCGCAAGCAGCCATGACGCAAGCCCGCTAAGCAGATCGTGAGAACTCCGGCCCCAACGCTCGCATCATGGTGCTAACCGAAGAACTAACCTTCCAAGCATATGAGTGCGCAGGCGGGGTTGCAAGGAGGGAATGCCGTGAGCGAGACCCCAACGACCTGGCGCGAGAATGCTGGGCAACAGAATCAGACCCCAGCGAGGTGCAGCCGCGTTGGTACAGGAAGAAAAATTGCACTATCAGCGTTCGTCCCCGAATGCTTCTTCGATCGCAGGGCGACAACAAAAAAAAACTGACCAACACTGTGCCAAGAAAAGCGATACGCCGAGCGGGGCGCACCGCTCTCGGGTCGTCTTGTGGGGAAAGGAAAGGAAAGTTGTTCCTTTACTGCGTCATTGTATAAACAACTGTCGCTGCCGCTGCCCAGGGAGGTTCCTCCCGAGACCACTGCTCGGAGGCGGCCAGCATCTCGTCGTGCAGCTGATTCACCCACTCTAAGAAAAACTCGTGGGCGTCCTGTCGCCGCGCGGCGGGTACGTTCGACCAAATCCCGACAATTCCTGGGGTCACTGCCTCCGTCCCTTCCGCCCTCAAAGAAGAGGCCGAGGAGGAGAATGACAAAACGACGACGGCGACGACCACGACACGGAGGATGGTGAGAGGAGGGGGAGAAAAAGGACCAAGAGAGTGGAAATCGACTGCTGGGATAACTCTCAAAAATGATCCATCCACGTTCGAAGATAGAGGACTCATGCCGAATGTTCAAAGTCGGGGCGACATGAATGCGAAATGCAAAGTTTCGTCACGAATCCTGGCGATAGGGGGCGAAAATCATCGGGGACGCCATGCGTCTCGGTCCTTCTTTGCGTCCGTGTATTGGTTCCTCTTTCCCCCACTCTTTCTTCTCTCTCTCTCTCTCTCTCTCTCTCTCTCTCTCTCTCTCTTATCTCTCTTCTCTCTTCTCTCTCTCTCTCTCTTCTCTCTCTCTCTCTCTCTCTCTCTCTCTTGGTATATTATGTATCTCTCTCTCTCTCTCTATCTCTTTCTCTCTCTCTCTTTTTTTTTTTCTCTCTCTCTCTCTCTCTCTCTCTCTCTCTCTCCCTATAAATAAATATATGTGAATATATATACACACACATATATATGTGTATGTATGTGGATGTCTCTCTCATTAGTTGTTTATCTCTCTCTCTCGCTCGCTCTCTCCCTCTATCCCTCTCTCTCTCCCTCTCTCTCTCTCGTTCTTTCTCTCTCTCTCTCTCTCTCTCTCTCTCTCTCTCTCTCTCTCTCTTTCTCTCTCTCTCTCTCTCCCTGTCTCTCTCTCTCTCTCTCTCTCTCTCTCTCTCTCTCTCTCTCTCTCTCTCTCTCTCTCTCTCTCTCTCTCTCTCTCTCTCTCTCTATATATATATATATATATATATATATAAAAAAGACATACAACGATGCGTGTTTCCATATATACCCCTGTCCCTAAACGTATGTACATATATGTCTACACACAAATACACACATGCATTAAAATATATGTGCATACATATGCAGACAGACATACATTCATCCATATATACACATACATACACATACATACATACACATATGCGTATATGTGTACATCTATAGATTCCCAAACAGCGTTTGCATTTAGAGGTTCATAGCTCTGTTCTGGAAATTTGAGTTGGTGTGCCGCTCTGGCGGCTACGTACTCGCAATCGCCTCCCCGTCGCCGCCTCGTCGGCGCCCGTCGTTTGGGCCGGTGTGCCGTTCTGGCGGTTGTGTCGTCGCCGTCGCCGCCCCGTCGCCTCTTCGTCGCCGCCCGTCGTCTGGGCGTGGGTGGCGGCCACGCGATTAGGTTATCGCCGTCGCCACCCCGTCGCCGCCTCGTCGTCGCCGCCCCGTCGCCTCTTCGTCGCCGCCCGTCGTCTGGGCGTGGGTGGCGGCCACGCGATTAGGTTATCGCCGTCGCCACCCCGTCGCCGCCTCGTCGTCGCCGCCCGTCGCCTGGTCCTGTTCTGCTTAGCATTGTTTTGGATTTCGTTGTTTCGCAATGGTTGGCGTAAATTTGAGTCGCCTGGCATTGTCGTGCCATGTTTAGTATTGATGCGAATTGTGTTGCATTGTTTTGCGATTCGTTGCATCGTTTTGCATAATGTTGCATCGTTTGCGTTGCATGCTCCGCATTCCATTGCACCTTAAAGAAACTAGATCCCACCCCCACCACCACCACGGGATTACCATTCCCCTTTCTGGGGTATTCCATTTTACATACGATTATTTATCCTTGTTCGTTTCCCCAATGATTTCATTCCATCCCAACTAGTCCCGGTATCGGTTCCCCCCCCACCCATCCTTGCCAAATCATACCATGCGGCGCACATGCGTTGATGTGAAATGAGTTCGTGGTACGAATCCCAATCAAACAATACCACGCGGGCAACACGCGCGCGCAAGACAAAATCCGTCCAAAAACCGTTTGCTTTCGTAGCGAGTTCAACCAGCAAAAACATCCAGAACCCAATGGTTGTCCAGCTGAAGGTTTTCAGATGTTCATCCCGCGCGTTTTTGCAGACGCCTCGGAAACACAAAATGTTTTCAATATTCCTGCCCCAGGAAGCCATCGCAAGCGCGCGTCGAACAAATTCCAACGCCCTCGCGCGCTTGACAGAGGCATGATCCCTGTCAAATCATACCATGCGGGACACTGTCATCGTCATCATTGCCGTCAGCGTCGTCTTGATCATTCTCATCGTCGTTTATAAACGCCGTCGTCCGCGCTGTCTCCCGCAAGATGAACTTTGGACGCGCGACGAAGGCCCGCGCGCCAATGAAAGTAGCGGAGGAGGTCCGCGCTGCAACCGTCGTCTCGACCTTTTGGCTTCTGCCTCACATCATCGTCGTTCGGCGACGCCGTTCTCCACGCGCTTTCCAACAATATCGACCCTGCCCGCGCGACGAGGGTCCGCGCGCCAGTGAGCTCGATGAAATTTGCGGACGAGCTCCACGCTGCAACTGTAGTCGCGACCTTATGAGTTTTGCCAGCCAACGGTTCGGGCCCCGCCCGCACTTGGCGCACACTGTTGGCCGCGCTGAAAGGTACGCGATCAGGGAGGGGCTCGACGCATTCCCTGACCACCAGTGCTTCGTCACTGATCTCCTGGCGCTCGCCCAGGAAGGAGAGCGCCGGTGCCCCGAGCTCGAGCAGGGTCGCGCCAAGCATGCTAGAGCGTGGCGGGACAGATTCATGGCCAGCCGCTGACGCACTCTGCGCGATCCCCCCCAAGTTCCGATGGACGCCTGCGCACAGGCCCTTGAAGGAGCTCGCGGGCACAGAACCGCAGGAGCTGCGTGACTGGCTTGGCAACGGCTGGGCAGACTACTTCGCGCGCTGCGGCGCGGCCTCTCGCGCGCTGGATGGGTCGGTTGCCGAGGCGGCAACTGCTGCGCTGAAACAGCACCGCAAGGTCCTGCAGTTTATTTCGCGGGCGGCACTGCAGGCGGCGACTCGCAAACAATGGGGGCGCGACGTGGAGGTCCCCAGGCCACCTTGCGAGCAGGCCAGGGCCATCGCGGTGGCACGTAGCACGGACCATGTCCTGGCTTACTGCGCCAGCCTCGGGCGGTACCGATGTACCCAATGCAGAATCACGGCCACAACAGGCTCCTCCCTCAATTCGCTGCAAGCTGGCTCTCATCGTGTTTGTCGGCCTTTCTCATCGCCGAGTACTTCCGCACCTTCGGCGAGGGTTGGGTCCTCTGCAGCGACCAAAGGGCTGGCGTGGCCCTGGGCGCGGCCTCGGCGCTCGAAGGGAGCTCGCAGCCCGCGGCCCCCGCGGCCCTGGTGCCACCTGCCCTGGCCGAGGAGGTAGGCGGCGCCTTTGTCGCGCTCGGGCACGACGTGTTCAAGGACATCGATGTCTACTGTTGCAGACGCTGCGGTTCCCACTGTGCTGCGGCCATGTCCGCACAGTGAGAAAGCTTGGTTTGAGGTGCGAAGGGCTCTCGCCCAACGAGTCCACGCGCCGCAACAAGCAAGATGCGATCAGGCGAGTCGAGAAGGGACTGGCGCCTCGTGCCCGCCGCACCCCAGCGACGCTGCTCCCGCAGGATGGCCCCTCTCGCAGCCACGCGGCGCGATGATCGACCATGTCGTGATTCGCTGCCGTTCCGTGGCCGGCTGGTGGCACGGCGTCTTCTTCGGCGGCAGCGCCTGCTTCGTCGGCGGCGTGTTGGCCTACGTCGACGCGCCCTTGGGCCTCCTCCTCTGCGAGTGGGTCTTGTTCCACCCTGTCTTCGACCTTGCCCTCTCCGCCATCGCGGCGTGAGGGCGCCGCGCTGTCGCTCGTCGGCCGCCCCCGCGGCCGGTCGGGAGACTCGCGCGAGGCGCCGCGATCCTCCTCATGATCCTCCTCCTCCTCCTCCTCCTCCTCCTCCTCCTCCTCCTCCTCCTCCTCCTCCTCCTCCTCCTCCTCCTTCCTCCTCCTCCTCCTCCTCCACCTCCTCCTCCTCCTCCTCCTCCTCTTCCTCCTCCTCGCACCCCCTCCTCCTCCTCCTCCTCCTCCTCCTCCTCCTCCTCCTCCTCCTCCTCCTCCTCCTCCTCGTCCTCCTCCTCCTCCACCTCCCACCGCATGTGGGTGGCAGGCAATTCCGAAGCAACTCTTCTTCTTCTTATTATTATTATTCTTCTTACTATTATTATTATTCTTCTTATTATTATCATTATTCTTCTTATTATTCTTCGTCTTATTATTATTCTTATTATTCTTCTTCTTCCTATTATTATTATTATTATTATTATTATTTTTATGTGTATTCTTCTTCTTCTTCTTCTTCTTCTTCTTCTTCTTCTTCTTCTTCTTCTTCTTATTCTTCTTATTCTTCTTCTTCTTCTTCTTCTTCTTATTATTATTATTATTATTATTATTATTATTCTTATTCTTCCTCCTCGTCCTCCTCCTCGTCCTCTTCCGCCTCCTCCTCCTGGGCACAGCCTGGGGCGCCACAGAGTCTATGGTGCCTCAGCAGGACCTCGAACGCGGCTAGGGGCGCACCTTGCAACCGCCATTAGCCGCGCCCATCGGACACACTCCGCGCCGTGCGCGGGGCCGGGGAGCAACGGTGCGAGGGTCACTAACGGCGCACCGCCGGGCAGTCCCCACTCGCACCGCGCCCCCCGCCGGGTAGCCATAGACAAGGATTAGGGCTCTGGGAGCAGGCGATAACCTGCATACCTCAGAACGCTCTTGGCTAAACAGTACTCTCCCCGTCTCAATCGTTCCAGGATAAGGCGACGATCCTTCGAAAGATGACGGGGCTGGCACTCACTCGCAAGAGACACCACGCGCTGGGTGGTGCATGCAGCGCAGTGAGTGCAACAAAATACCTGGGTTTCGCCCACGAACAGCGAGGCCACACGATGATGCTTGGACCCAGCGGCCTTCAGAGAAACCTGAGCCTGCTGGATCCTTTGCTCTAAGGTGGGCGGCTCTGGCTTGACAATGATTAGGGAGGGGGCTGAACGTGCAGAGCGCTGGCGGTGCAAACAGTCTACAGATGCAATGGCCTCACCCGCCCTGGCGGCCCATTTCCCCGTAAGACTGACCATTCTCTTCTGCATCAACGCAAGCTTCTGAAATTGGGGATCGGGCCGCAGGACACGAGCACGACTGTTCGCAGCACCGTCGGCGGCATCGTTTCCAAGTTTGTCTCGAAGCTTATACCTCCCCTCCGCAACCAGAAAGTCTGTCACGTGGGCTTTCACTTTCTTTACCTCAGGGGGGGTACCCCCCCAGTCATCGACTTTGTGCCATACGAGCTTCCAAAGACAGGCCCAAGCCGCCGACGCCGACGTGGTGTCAGCAGGTCCGCGGATATTGTAGCCTTTCCAAACGAAATCGGAATCCGTGTGCACGACAACAGGTGGCACCGCGAATCTGAGCACTGCGAACAGGGCATACAGCTCGGCACCGTCTATGTCCTGCAGCGGGTAGGGCAGGAGACCTGTGACGGTGCAGACAGCCGTGTCAGTGTCGGCGGCCAGCGCAACAACTGCCCATGCAGCAGTCCCGCGATGTGGATAATCAGTAAACAGTGAGCCATCAAGATAAAGATCCCCTGTGAGCTGTTGCGCATCCCCGTGCCATTCCACACAGGGCTCGGACGGCGACAGCAGCACTGCCTGAGGGGCCTTGGGGAGCGGGACGAGCACACGCTCCAGCAATAGGCGCACCAGGTCATTCTGGTCCGCATGCGGGAGCATGAGTCTGATTGCATCAGGGAGTGGCTCTCCTATTGCCTCAAGCATGCTCTTGCAAACAGCGTGCCGATGCACGAGGGACCCAGGGGCCTCATGGCATGCAAGGCAACTCGGGGAGTCAATCCATCCTTGTTGAAATTGCCGATCTTGGGGCCACTGAGCTCCAATGATAGCACTCCTGAGGTAACCACGCTGCTGCCAAGTGAGGTTCCCCTTGGCGCTCAGGAGGTACTTCAGAGGCCCATCCCAGAACCCAGTACGGAACTCGGGCATCTGGAGGTGCTCCGAAATCTGCAGGTTAACCCAGTGGCGCACCGCATGCGCACAGCAGTGCAGTAGGACCCCGGGGCAAATGTACTCGAGTTTCAGCTCCAGACCGTCAGGCAACTTCCAGACCAGGGGCTCAACGACGACGATCCCGACTCTGGCGAGCGTAGCGAAGAGGGCTCCCAGGGGGCCCCGAACTTGCGGCCACATTTGGTCCTTCCCAGACAACGCCAATCTAGCGGCCTCAAGGCCATGCTCTAATACATGACATGGCACGCGCGCCGCCCAAAGAACAGAGCTGAATGCTTTGATAGGCTCCAGAGTAGCCCTCCAAATCGGGTCGTAGTTGGCCTGCGGCGCGAGCGCGAGAGCGAGAGTGCGGCTCTTGCCGCTGGTCTTGGCGTCGAGCGCCGCAGCGGCCTGGGATCGCAACACGTCCAGCTCCTTAGAGGCAGTACCCTGAACGGAGGTCCCAAAAGCAACCGAAGTCTCCAGGGCCGCCCTGGCCATGATGGCCATGGTTTTCCGCCTGGCCATGCCTCCCTGGAGATGTTTCATTCTCTTAAGCTTGGGTTTGGCGACCTTGATTCTGCCCGTCCTGGTGGCCCTCCTGAGAAACCGACCTGAACTGTAGTCAACCCCCAGGTTGCGCTCATGGTTCACGCCCTGGGCCCTAAGCGATACCAGCCTCCTGGACAGCTGGTCACGTAACTCAGAATCACTAGCAAGAACTCGCGTCTTGTCAAGAGCGAGCCGTAGATCCACACGCTGAAGCTCGCACTGAAGCTTCACTCCAGCGCCAGCTACATCAGCAACTACTCGGCCGTGTTCCCCCGATCTCTGCAACGCAAAATCGTCGACAACCACGGAAAGACAGATGGCCCGAAACTCTTTCTGAACAACATCCAGGGGGCCCAGCAAAACCAGTTGCAGCAAAACAGTAGCAAAACCACACCCAGGGATAATCGTAGTTTCCGCCGTGATGTGATTACTGACAGTCCCTTGGAGATCGAGCAGGCGGGGCGACCGATAGACTTGCACAAGCAAACGCAGTTGCCACAACGGAAATCCAGTGCGAGTGGCCGCCTGGACAAGATGATGATGCTTGACCAGTTCAAACGCTTTCTTCAAATCGAGCAGCAACGTAGCAGATGACAGGCCCTTGGACTGATAATACTCCGCCCACACTGCCTGAATGTACACACACATGTCAGCGCTTTTTCCTTTAGTACCCCACCAGAAACTCCGATAGTTCTTGACTTGCCATTGCCTGATCAAGGGCCTTCTCAGCCTGGACTGCACCCGACAGAGAACGTGTAACAGCCCCAAAGGTCGGACTCCTCCCAATCTTTTGAGAATAAAAACAATCTTGTTCGTGAGGGGAGGCCAGTCCGCCTGCTCCTCAATCTTCCCGATGAGGCCGCACAGAAGCTCGAGCGCAGAGTCGGGCAAGTGCAGAAAACTCCTAGGCGGGACCTGGTCGTATCCACAACCAGTGCCTAGCGGGAAGGACATCAACACTTTCTTGAGCTCTGGGACCGTGGGGGGAGGCGGGCGCTCTCCGAGATCCTCTGGCCAGTGCACGGGGGGCTGCGCGACCCCCACCTGCCACCACTTGCTCCACTCCCTTTCAAGTTCGTCCATTTCCCCCATGCTGGAGTTGGGACGGAGGGTGAAGGAGTCGAGGGTGGACGGCTGCCAAGGGTCAGGCAGCTGCACATACTTGAAGAGCGCCGCAGCCCCACCTACCGAGTGCGTTTTAACCCATCGGTCCCAGTTGACTATCTTCAGCTGGGTTGCCTGCTTGTGCAGGCGCTCGGCAGTGTCGCTGGCGACGGCGGCGAAGTAGTCCATGACTACGTAATCAAAGACGCGAAACCGATCAAGGGCCTCCAGGAAACAAACCGCGAGATTCGAATCTGGAACATCTGGCGAGCTCTGAAGATGTCGGATCCTGCACCGCACTTGCTTGGTCTGGGCAACGCTGATGGGCCTCGTGAGGGTCTTGAGGACCTGGGCCAAGGCTCTCCACCACACAGCTTGAGGGCTCAGACGTGGAAAAGGAACTGGAGCAGGCCGGCTCGGTCGACACCACCCAGTACGAACATCACCACCACGCCCTCCTCCTCCTCCTCCTCTCCTCCTCCTCCTCCTCCCTCCCCTCCTCTCATCCTCCTCCTCCTCCTCCTCGTTCGATCTTAACATTCCTCATTCCTCCTCTCCTCATCTCGCCTCCTACCTCTCCCTATCTCTTCCTTCCTCCTCTCCTCCTCTCTCTCCTCCGCATCATCATCATCATCATCATTTCATCATCATCATCATCATATCATCATCATCATCATCATTCATCATAATCATCCTCCTCACATCATCATCATATCCATCATCATCATCATAATCATCAACATTCATAATCATCATCATCATCATCATCATCACATCAGCAGCAGCAGCAGCATCAGAGCATGCATCATTCATCATCATCATCATCATCATATTTCGTCATCGTCTCATCATATCATCAGCATCACATCATCATCATCATTTCATCATCATCTCTATCATCATCATTCGCATCCATCATCATCATAATCATCATCATCAATCAACAACATCAGCATCGTCATTCATCATTCATCATAATCTATCATCGTCATCATCTCATCATCATATCATCATCATCATCATCATCTCATCATCGTCATCGTCATCTCATCATCATCATCATCACCACCAGGCACCAACCACCAACCACCACCACCACCACACCATCATCATCATTCATCATCATTATCGTCTCGTCATAGCCTCATCATCATCCTCATATCTCTCATCATATGATCATCAGCTATGAGCATTATATCATCTATCATCTCAGCAACTACATGACATCATCATGATACCATCATCACATCATCATCACCATCATCATCATCATCATATCAGCATCCTCATAATCGTCATCGTCATCGTCATCGTCATTCTTCATCATCATCATCATCATCATCAGCATCATCATCACCATCATCATCAACACCACCACCAACACCACCATCATCATCATCATCGTCGTCATCGTCGTCGTCATCATCATCATCATCATCATCATCATCATCATCATCATGATCAGCAGCAGCAGCATCAGCATCATCATCATAATCACCATCATCAGCATCATCAGCATCATCATCGTCGTCATCATCATCAGCAGCATCATCATCATCGTCATCATCACCACCATCATCATCAGCGTCGTCATCATCATCATCATCATCAGCAGCAGCAGCATCAGCAGCAGCCTCAGCAGCAGCAGCATCATCCTCTTTCACTTCCTCCTCATCCTCCTCCTTCTCCTCCTCCTCCTCTTCCGCCTCCTCTTCCTCCTCCTCCTCCTCCTTCTCCTCCTCCCCCTCCTCCCACTCCTCCTCCTCCTCCTCCTGCTCCTCTCCCTCCGCCTCCTCCTCCTCCTCCTCATCATCATCATCAGCAGCAGCAACAGCATCATCAGCATCATCATCATCATCATCATCAGCAGCATCATCATCATTCTCATCCTCCTCCTACTCGTTATATTGTTGATGTTCCTCCTCCTCCTCCTCATCATCATCATCATCATTGTCATCATCATCACCATCATCATCATCATCAGCAGCATCATCATCATCAGCAGCAGCATCATCATCGTCATCATCAGCATCGTCATCCTCCTCCTCTTCCTGCTCCTCCTCCTCATCCTCCTCCTGCTCATCTTCATCCTCCTATCCCTTACTTTATTCCTCCTCCTCCTCATCATCATCCGCCTCCTCCTCCTTCTTCGATGCCCTATGCTCGTCCTCCTCATCTTCGTCTTGTTATCTGCATTATTCGTCGTATCAGCATTCGGATTAGTATTGCTGCTCATAGTCGTATTAGTATTCGCATGTTTAGTCTTAGTATTAGTATATGTTGTGCTTAGTAGCATTAGTAGCATTAGTATGGTTCGTCTTTTTAGTATTCGTATAAGACTTATGTGTATTATTACTGCGAGTATTATTACTCCTCATCCTCCTTATAGTCCTTAGATTCCTCCTCCTCCTCTTCCTCCTCCTCCTCCTCTTCCTCCTCCTCCTCCGCCTCTCCCTCCTCATCCTCCTCATATTCCTTCCATTCCTCTTATTCCTCCTCCTCCTCCTCCTCCTCCTCCTCCTCCTCCTCCTCCTCCTCCTCCTCCCCATCATCATCATCAGCATCATCATCATCATCAGCACCACCACCACCACCATCATCATCATCATCATCATCATCAGCATCATCATCATCATCATCATTATCAGTATCATCCTCATCATCAGCATCATCATAATCATCATCAGCATCATCAGCATCATCATCCTCATCATCAGCATCATCATCATCATCATCATCATCATCATCATCATCATCATCATCTCATCGTCATCATCATCATCATCATCATCATCATCATCAGCATCATCATCAGCAGCAGCTGCAGCAGCAGCAGCATCAGCATCGTCATCGTCATCATCAGCAGCAGCAACAGCAGCAGCAACAGCAGCATCCTTTTTCTCT